AATTCTGATCGCAAATTTTAACGGTAAATATGGTGAGTAACAGAAGCTGGCTACCGCGCTGATGAACATAAACGGCTGTAGTCCGTGCTATCTTTCAAGCCACCTGTATTGTCTTAAGTTCCACTGAAGAAACTTAATGCACTTCTAAGGAAGATGAATGGGTGCGTTGAAAGGAAAGGGGTTACCAGTTGGTTCTAGTTCAGTGACTTCTGAAAGGGCTGGCTTTTTTGTGGGTGGGCTATTCTCTGTCTTCCCTTTCCCGGGAATGTGTCATGGAATCCTCTCCGAAAAGAAAGCATGAACATAATAGGTTAAGTCTCGTATATGACATGCTACAAATGCTTAACAAATGAGCTTTCAACTTCGCTCTTGTTTTATGTATTCAGAAATAATATTTCATTAAAAAATACGCGAGTTTCAGATTTAAAATTAAGAAAAGTTAAACTTTATTGGTTGTTCATATTGTAAAAAAATTCTAAACATTTCGTGGGAGATACTGGCAAACACACATTCGGCGAAACGTGATCGGTCATATCGAATAGTACTTCGCCGTCTTGGCACCTAAAATGTTACCCAGGCCGGTCAATCTCCACGTATCAGGCGAGCGATATTGTGCATCCAAAAATTAGAGAAGCAATCGTAAAAATCCACCCTTTAGCAGGAGAACTGAATGTAGTAAAGGCTAGAATTTTTCAATTTAATATATTAAGCTTGATTTTTCAAGCAATAATGGTTAACCCAGAATGTTTACTGGACGATTAAAAGCTGCGAGTATATCATTTTGAAGAGACTTTATCCATCCAAATAACCCGGAGCTCATTTATGTATCGAATTTATTTTTGGAACCAGGAATTTTTTTTTAAATTTATTTTTTTACTTAAAGAAGAAGATATGTATGATCAGTACCGGGAATTTAGACCTAAAAGCTAACATAACGCGTGTATAACATTTTATTACATCCAAGGCCATCTTAATGCATGCGCCCGCCCTGCACTTGGCCGGGTGGCTCACTAGCATAGAGTCCCCATATTAATCCTTTTACCATATCACTTGCACATTATTTCTATGAATGGTTATCGTAGGGGCCCACACTTCGTTTTTGTAAGTTGTTGTCCGTAGGAGCCCCAACACACTGGTGTGCTCAGAGGCCGATGATGCTGGCAAGACGGCACTAATTATACCTAGTTGTGTGGTATTGAGTTTGTAGGATTGTAAGATAAATTTTCAGACTAGTACTAGAGGCGATCCTCGCAAGATCGCACGCTAGATTTCGTTAATTACGTGTCATTTTCAGAGTTGTATTTAGCCTCTAGTTTACTTGTTCTTTGTATACACCAGGCAGAGAAAAGTGGAAAGGATTTGGCTATCGAGTTGCCCACTAAACATTCTAATAATAACTGCACAGCATGGAAAAACATTCGCTTTATGGATCTTATTAATTGTGAATGTAGTTAAGGGATTTTTATTATTATTTTTTAATTTTTTATTATTATTATTTATTTGTTTAGGAGCAGCCTATGTTACTGATATAATAATGGTTTTTCTTATGTTATCGTTTCTCTTTTTACTCTAAGATAAGAAAGTTTTTTTAAGAACTAACGTACATGAAACATTGTTTTTGCTCCTCATCAAATTTAAGTCATGTAATCAGGAATTTAAGCAGTTTGTTTTTTTGATCAAAAAGCAGAATATGAGTTTGGAACTGTAGTGAAAAATACTTTTGTAATAATAGCGAGACATCCTTGAAATGAGCTTCATCACAACCGCGAGCTTCGATTCCTCTGCATATGATTTTGACGCAGCTAACGGTAAAACTCGATGAACCCGTTACTTGGCGAGTTGGCATCTTTTTTCCATCCTGACCATGAAACTGTTCTCTTCCTTATGGCAACCCTATGAGTGTGCGTATTTTTTATGCCATATTCTGCAATGTCGTGTGTTGATTAGCTTGTAGCTTCACGCCGTTTCTGAGTCGTTTTTCGGAAAATCGGAAGTCGTGAGCACGTATGAATTTGGATCATAACGCAGAACTTGCTTATCATTTTGATGTATTCAATCTTGATAAATCGATGGAGAGTATTGTATCTTCTGAACTGTAATACTGGGTTGGGTTTTTCACTCTCCGGCAACACCATGCCACGTTTTGCGGCCTTTTAAATAAGGACAAGTGGATTTTTAGAGCTTTTAACAGACCCCTTATTGTAGTCGTCATGTGTATAGTTAGTGCTTCATTGATTTTATTGTGATATGGAGTCGGGGATTATCTTCAAAGGTTACCGCTTCGTAACGTCAGTCAATTTTACAATATCAGTGTTTTGTTCAAGCAAGTAAGATTTAATAAATTTTATTTATTTTCTTTTAAATTTCTTTTCAAGTATTAAATAAATCAACATTTTAAGAATGCAATATATCTTTTCTTAAAGGATTTTCCTTTTTATTATTGTATTCCATACTGAACCTCTTAGAGGTATGTAATTTGACACCTTTGTGTAAATTTTGCATTTAAATACCCAGTCTTCTTTTCTATGAGGATAAATTTTATAAACTTCTCCAGCTGTGCTTAATTACTTCTTGAAATCAATGAACAGATCCCTAACTTGATTTAGATTTTATCATATTTTTAAGAGAGCTAAAAAATTATGATTTGTTTGTATGTGGGATAGGGAATAAACCTGTTCATGATACTTGGCAGTAATATAAACAGAAAAATTAAATAGTTTTTATCTAAACTATCCTTTATAAAGAATGTTGGGTGAAATATCAAAATTTATGTTATTAAATAAATAGCCTTAATTTATTTTTTTTACGGATTTTGTATTTAGTTTGCTATTTTTGGTAAAACTGTAATTAAATTGTTTAATTTCCCCGTGCAATGCTATGCGCATCAAGTTTTAAGAGAAAGCTATGCCGAAATATTAAAAATACGAAAGCATGCACATTTAATAAATAGATATCTCGTAATTGCTTTTGCTTTCCAGAAAACTCGAGAAGTAAAACTTACTAGAATGTTCTCATGCATGATTAAAAAGCTTATAAAAGTTGGACAGAAATATCTCAGCTCAATTATTTTACGAGTTATTTACTTAGGTGTTGTTGATTGTTGCGAATTCGCGGTGAGATTGGATTAGCTTTCTCGGTATTTCTAATTGAGTTCTATTCAATGTTTTAGTAGTTTAAAATATGAGATATTGTCCGCTACTATGAGATATTGCGATGTTATCTGAATATCTCTGAGGAAATTCCAGCATTTTGTTTTATTTGTTGGGATAAGAATAAATTTTATTCACTTTTCTTATGACTTGTGCATTCAATTTATTACGAACCCGCATGCTTGCAACAGTACATTATAAAGCAAATTTGAAAATGCCGAAGCCATGCCATGCCAATTTTCTGAAAAGTAAATATTATGTGCTAAGTACAAGTATTTTCATGTTAACATTTTTTTCTATTGTTTAGCAGTTCACTGAATTTGATGGCAAGGTGCCTTATTTCTTTCAAAAATATGTGTTTAATTATAAGGGCTCGAGATTTTTAAAATAGGGCATGCATTATTAATCTTGGATTCTAAGAACTACTTCATTTTCAACCATATTTCATAAATTCTGCTGTCTATTATCAACCTTTGCTTAAAATAATGTGTATCATAGAATAAATCTTGGCAATATCTGAATAAATTTTCCAGTTTTGAGCAATCAAGAAATTAAAAATCAGTGCTTTTTTGATAATTAATAGAAATATATACAGGGGATAAATAATTTCCTTTATTTTTTAGTCATTGTTAATATTATTATTTGTTAAAATTATATCTTTTTAATGTGTAAATTACATTTGATTTTCACATCCATCATCTGAAATGACTATACGTTACCGTTAAGCTACAAGAGGCTTTGACAGTTTAATAAATTTTAAATATTTATAACATTTTTTTTTAGAATGTAGTGTTTGTGTATGTTATATGCTACTCTGGCACTTTAAACACTCAAATTGATTGTCACGTTTGCCGAAGAGCTCTTCATCTGCAACTGTCACAGAGAGAATGAATGAAATGAATTGAATTCTAAGGTACTTATTATCACAATCACCTTAGTAGAAGCAGCCAAATTTTCAGAATCTGCTAAACTCATGACAACCATGCACTTCAGACAACTGTGCTCATATAGTCCTTCAGTCTAGCATTGACATTTTTTTGTTTTCTTTTTGTTGTATGCTAAGTTTCAAGATCAAGTTTTTTAGCTAAATTGCAATATTGTTGACTTTAAAACTCACTTGTACCTGAGGGATTTACCAGCAGTGGAAGAATCAGCAGTAAATATTCTGGAGGAATATAGTATTGTGCATTCAGACTGGCTAAAGAGAACAGTGATGAAATGTCTTGCACATTGTTGAGTTTGTACAATTCTGTGATGTTTTTTAAGTGAAAACACGGCACTGTATTCGGGGAGAGAACAGTGCAAAAAATATTACTGGAAAATTTCCTTCAAAGTATATTCAATTTTTTTTGGTATATTGGTTAATCTTTATTAATTTTTATCTTTAATTGCTAAAATGAGTTTTCATTTATTGATAATATTTACCAATTTATGGCAAGTAATGGTAGTTTGGAAAACTTTTTTGGAAGTGCCATGAAAATTGACAAACTCTGCTAATGTGGTTATGTTAATACATAAGTACCAATTCTGAATAATTCTGAATCAAATGAATACTTATATCATCATAAAAGACTTATAGTCACTAATTTCAAAAAAATCACGACACACTTCATGTATGAAAAAATTGTTATTCAGTCTGGAACTTCATTTCATAAAACTGGAGCCCAGACATTTGCATTAGAACCTAAAGTCTCTTGGCTAAAACTGGAGTTGGGACAATCGTGATAATCTCTTCAATTTTGACTTAAACCTTATCTATAACTGTAAGTGATATGGTGTAATGTTTGCAACATCCAAAGAGTTTTGAAAAATTTGTGTTGATGTGTTTATTTTATTCCTTTTGTATTTTAGGTGGGTGACATGATTTCTGTGATTGATATGCCTCCTCCTGAGGAATCGTCCTGGTGGAGAGGGAAAAAAGGTTTTGAAGTAAGTGTAACTATATATTCTACTGCATCTTTTTATTTCTAATTCATCAGCATACAAAGTCAATTATATATTTCATATCTGCTATGGTACTTCTTTTCAGTACATAATAATAAAAACAACTGTGTCTCATTTAACCTTTAACCTGTGCCATATTAGATTCAGTAGTATCACATGTATTTTATTATTTTCATAATTTTCATCAAAAATATTATCTGCTGCATCTTTTTATAGATAATTTATTAGCACACAAATTCAATTATACATTTCGCATTTGCTGTGTAACTTCTTTGCAAGGCATAATAATAAAAACAATAATTATGCCTGTTTTAACCTTTAATTAGTACAATACAAGATTTAGTAATATCACATTTATCAATATTTTCATAATTTTCATTGAAAATACAGTCAAAAGTCGTTAATCCGGACTCGTCGAGACTTCGGCGATTCCGGATTATCGATTTTTCCGGATTATAGATCATCAGTTTAAATCTCGTAAGATGGCATGCAGAAATTATAAAATAAAAAATATGAAACCGTAATTTATGAAATAAAGAACAATTATGATCTAAAGGGTATCAAAGTTTACAAAAAAAAAAAGCTTAATATTTATTTGTTTACTTTATTAAACATTTCTTTCAATGTAAGTTGTTTAAGTTGCTTCGTTTTATGTGATAATACTTTCTCTTTAATTCTATAAATAGACATAATTTCTTGTTCAGTTACAAAGTTCCGCTGTTCAAGTCCCGTAATTGCTGTGCCGAGAATACCAACTAATTTGTCAATCGAAATTTTTTCGTCTTCACTAACTACTCTGTCACCTTCTTCATGTCTTTATCCATTTTTTGCAGAAATTCCACTTTTTGTTTGATGGACATCGAAACATACTTTCGTTTTGTAGATCCTTTGGGAGCTCCAGCATCGGAAATTCTATTTGACATAATCGAAAGTTCAAGTTTACTTTTATAAAATTGCTCTTACAGTCTGCAAAAAAATAATAAGCTGGATCCAATTTGAAGATTAAGGAACAACGCAATCATCAACATTAACTGAAATAGATAATTTTAGCTTATACCGTCCGTTATACATAAAACGCGCACGCGAAAACGTATTTTGCGCATACGCATATGCGCAGTCGTAAAGGTCTTACGCGCACGCGAAAACACCTATGCGCATGTGTCAATGCGGCACATGTGCAGAAAGTTTTTAGCTTTGAGGTCCGGATTATGGGTGTCCGAATTAACGTCTTTTGACTGTATTAGAAAAATTTCATCTTGAAAAGAGAGTTAGTTATTATTCATTTCTGTTAATTGAGACATGTTTGAATAAATACAATTGGTTTTTTTTATATAGTTATTGAGACGGGATCCAACGGTACTAGTTAAAGGTTGTCTTTTGTAAACTTATAATTTGTGTGCTTTTCTGTAGGAATATTACTCGTCAGTATTATTGTATTCTCGTTAGTAATTTACATTTGTTTATTGTAGACTTTAAACTTCTCTTTCCTTTGTTCTAGAAGCATTACTTGTATTTTCATCAATAGTTAACATATATCAGATTATTATATAAATACTATTATACAATATATTTTATATATTGTGATTAATAGGATGAATAAAGTAAGTAGTAAATTTAAAATATTACATTATTATATAAATTACTCTCTTTTTTTTCTCATTCTTTCTTCTAAAATTTATGTGCTTTCTCATCTGCTATTTCATTTTTAGGTTGGATTTTTCCCATCAGAATGTGTTGAAGTTATTGGTGACAAAGTGCCACATTCTTTTAAGTTATCAAATACATCAACAAAGCCTGGTATGTTTTTTTAAACTTAATCTGTTAATTTTTTTAATGTATTACTTAATATGTTGCTCAATAAAATCATTTTCCCTCTTTTTTAGTATTTCGCAGGCATGGGAAGTTGATAGCATTTTTTCGATCTTTCCTCCTTTCTCGCCCTTCTCGTAGAAAGTTGAAACAGAGTGGGATATTGAAAGAAAGAGTTTTTGGTTGTGATTTAGGAGAACACTTATTAAACACAGGACGGGAAAGTAAGTAACATTGTTAGTCATGTGCACATATATAAAGTAAATTTTTGGAAATCTATCTAGAAAACTATAATGTGCTGCCAAGTTTTGTGTAACATGAAAAATCATAATTGTGCAAGAACATATATGCAAGAATATTATTAATGTTCTGTTATTCATATAACAGAGTTTGAGTTTAAATTAAACTCTATGAGAAAAGGATTTTTGGAGTAATAACTTGTAATATTTTCTATTTCAAACCATGTTCTTGGTTGAAGAATCTTTAGACTGATTCTTTTGTTCAAAATCGGTTGACTTTTCCAATTGTTTATTTTACCTTTTTCTCTCCCTCACCCCTTTCTTTCTAGTTGCAATTCTACATATTAACTTAATTTTTTTATTGCATTCACAGCATTACTCTTTTTAGAAAATTTATGCAGTAAACCCTTTTCAAATGCAGAGGTGGCATCCTTAATACATTGCCCATGTGGTAAAATCACTTTCCACAAAGCAAACTTTTTATGGAAAAAAAATGTATTAGGTATAATTAAAAAAGTATGTATAATTCAAACAAACCTAAATAAGTTAGTCATTATAAGGAAAAAATAAAACAAATGTTGATTGAAGGAATTTTTATTATGCTTAAAAACAATGATACAGTTAATTTTTTTAAAAAAAGTTGGAGTTTTTTTTTTCTTGAGGTTAATGACTGGCACAACTCTTAAAAATTTCTGCAGTAAGCATCACAAAGTTTTTAGGTGGCTCTCTTAAAATGCCCTCTTATTTCGTGGTTTAGTTAAATTTTCAGAGAGTTCCTGTTCTTTCTTTAAGAAATAGTTGAACTTCTTGTAAGCTAAAGGCATTTTACTTTCTTCATTAGCATTGCTTTCATTGTTGGCTGGTGATTATACAATTCTTCATTTGTCAGTTTTCAATAAATTCTTTGCTTCTCATTTATCCAATTTTTGAAAATTCAAAAATCTTTTGCTGCTACTTTTTTGAATTTGTACTTGGTTTCATTTTTAATCAATGGACATTCCTTAAAATTGTTGATAGCTTCTGGCCAAAGTGATACCAGCAAGCATTCAGTATTTGTGAATCAATTTTGAACTATGTATGAATAAAATTCTAGCCTTGAACAATTTAAACAGAATTAAGATACCACATATATGCAAAATCATATTCTGAAAATTCACGTTTGGCGATAGTTTACTGTAAATTAACTATTTTATAAAACAGATTCTTTTTCACTTTCTCACTTGAAGAGAATCTTTTCCTGCGTAACTGAATTTTTAATATTCAGAATGTGAACATTTTACTTCTTGTGCTGATTTTTTAATTTAAATATTCTCCTCTTCAAATGTTAATTTATTTGCTATTTTGTTTTTATGAAATTACAAATTTTCTAATTATGAATTCTTTAATTGTATCTTAATAAATATTTATAATGTTGCGGTGTCATTTTTTTTATTTAATAAAATTTATTGTTTTTAGTTCCCATGGTGTTGAAATGTTGTGCTGAATTCATTGAAGAGCATGGTATTGTGGATGGAATATATCGGCTATCAGGTGTTAGTTCTAATATCCAGAGGCTAAGGTAATATTTCAGATATGACTATTAGCTACATTTGTGTATTATATATATATTAGACATAAAGTGAGAAATTTAGAACCAATTTTTCACAAAGACCAAAAATTGAGTAATAAATTTCAAATAATTTTATAAATGCAATAAAAGAATTTAATAAATATTAAAACCAAAACTCTTCAAACAAGCAATACTATTATGATTATATATTATTATAGACATGATTAAATTTTAAAAAAATGTTTTGTGATTATATATATATATGTTAATGAAAGCACAATTTTGGAAGCACTGATATAAGAACACTGAGATGTAGAAGCATAGATAGTTGATCCGTATTAAAGAGGAACAAGTCGAGGCATTTTTGATACTATGGTGATAGATGCAAGCATAGCAAAGCATCCACGCAGCACAGAAGTTGAAGCAAAAAGTGATGCATCAATTCAGAGGAAGAAGGGAGGGAGTCAAAAGTTTCAGTTTGAGTTAAAATGTTTTGGTTTACAATTTGGTGATTGATCCTGCATTAAGCATTATGTAGGATCGCATAATTAATTTGAAGAGAGATGAAGTTCCCAAATTAAATAAAAAATAAAAGATGTTAAAGCCATTTAAAATTAGAAGTTTGCTTTTATATTTTTTATCTTACATATATATATGTATATGTACACACACATACATAGATGTATAAATGTGTATAGTGTAGTGCATTGCTGATACATAAAAATTGGCTTTGAAATTTTTACAAAGAATGTATTCAAAAATTACGCTTAGCACTTGAAAATATGCATTAAAAATCTTCCCACAAAACAGTCATATATGTGTGTCTCTGCAGTGCATATTCCTTAAATTTTTCTTGATGTGAAATTCTTTCTGTGATGCATTTACATTGTAAAATGCATTATACAGAGTGTTTATAAAGTCCCGGACCCATTTTGATGTTTAATAACTCATAAAATAAAGATAGATTAAAATTAATAACATAAATGCTTAGATAGACTCAAAAAGTTTCATGACCCTTGTCAGTGAACTTCCATGTGTGCCCCCTTCGTAGCATGGAGAATATCAAGTCGACATTCAATTTCACGCCAGCTACTGGCAAGCATGTCGGCATTCACAGAGGCTATTGTGGTTGTAATTCTGGCTTTTAGGTCATCAATGTTCGACACTCTCCTCCTGTAAATGTTGTCTCTTACAAATCCCCAAAAGGGAAAAGTCCAGCAGCATTATATCAGATGATCTGGGTGGCCAAGAAATTGGACCTCCTCGCCCAATCCATCTTCCTGTAAAATGGTCATTCAAAGAACTACGAATGATGGTACCCCAGTGAGGTGGTGCATACCATCTTGTTGCAAAAAGACATGTGGCTGAAGTGAACTAGAAGCTATTCTTCTAGTTGTGGAAAATACGAAATTTTCCAACATGTCTAAGTATACGACTGATGAGACCATCTTTTCTGTAAAATAGAAAGGCCCAATGAATCAGTTGTGCATTAGTCCACACCACACATTAACCTTTGGGGAATCCCTTTGTGCCTCACGGTATTCATGGGGGTTTTCAAATCCCTACATGCGCACATTATGGCAATTAACAATGCCAGAAAGATGAAAGGATGCTTCATCGGAGAACCACTTCAGAAATTCAGCATCATCTTCTATCCTCCTTAGAATATCTGTTGCAAAGGCTATCCTCATAGGCCTATCGTCCAGTTTCAAAACTTGAACAATTTGAACTTTGTATGCATGAAATCTTAATTTTTTCTTAATAACCTTGTACACCGTCGAAATTGGCATATCCAATTCTCTTGCTGCTGATCTCGCAGATCTTCTAGGATTGTTTAAAAATGTCTCTCTGACACGCTCAACATTAAAATCACTTGTGCTGGGACGCCCGGAACGTTTCTTATCTGCGATACTTCCAGTTTCTAGAAAATTCTTTTTCCACCACAAGATGCTGCTTTTGGATGGAGGATCTTTCTGGTAAATTCTTCTGCAATTTCTCAGTGTTTGCATTATGGATTTCGTTTCTATGAACCACCATAAAATCTGTGCTTTCTCTTGTGGTGTATGCATTCTCCTTAATATCCAGTCGAATAAAACATCACATACAAAAGTACTAGAACAAACACATCAAATGTAAACATAACATTGCAATAGTTGCCAAAAACAAAAGAGAGAAAAATTAAATTAATAAGCAGACGATATTTAAAAAAAGTACTGGAAAATGAAATTATCTGAAATTAACCACTCGCGCAGACGATATTTACAAAAGTAAAGATGTTCAAACCTGAAAAGGAAAAGCATTGCTGATACATAAAAATTGGCTTTGAAATTTTTACAAAGAATGTATTCAAAAATTACGCTTAGCACTTGAAAATATGCATTAAAAAATCTTCCCACAAGTTATTCCATCAATAGATGCCATAAGTTTGTTTATATCTTCATTATTTTGTGAGTTATTAAACATCAAAATGGGTCCGGGACTTTATAAACACCCTGTATAATTAAATGTGGTCCAATCTGGATTTAACCAATTGTCCTGGACTTGTAATTCTTTGAGAGACTTTACAAAAGCGTGGAATAGGTGAAGAGAGACTTTACAGAAGCGTGGAATAGGTGAAATTTATTTTATGTGATAAATTATTATTTCTGATAGTATGATCGCATTTGCATCAAAGATTTCAATTTACAAATTTTCTTTTCAGTTTTTTTTTTTTTTTTTTTTTTTTTTGGGGTAACTTGTGGAGTATGTTTAGTAACTTTTAAAGTATTTGGCCTGTTTAATATTTCATTAAGAATTTTCTGTTGTTGTTAGACTTGAAAGAGCATTTGCGGGTGCATTTTCTTCTTGTTTTCAACATTAAACCTTGTTCTTGCTTTATTATAATGGCATTGTACAAATCAGCTTTGATACCTAATTCACTACTAGAATTTTGTTCCATCCTGCGGCAGTGTCTCTTTAGTTATTTGTGATTTGTAAATAATATTAGTTGCATTATGTGTATGCTGTGAAAATCCTACTTATTTAAAGAAATTAATATATTTTTTTAGAATTTCTATCTTTTCGGCTCAAAGGGACAGTTTTCCCGGAAGGGCTATTAATTTCATTTTGGCATTTTGTGTTGGTTCACTAAATGGCGTTTCACTTTTCAAATTGTTGCTGCCAAATATTATAGCCCTACATTATATTTAAAGAAATTAAATAATGAAGAATCTGCATGAATGCATGTGTGTTTCTTGTAATCAAATTCTGAATAACGTGGTTCTCCCCTCGAATATGGGCATCTGGAAGCCCAAATTTGGAATTTGTTTTATTATCTATTTCATATTTTGTAAAACTTTAACAATTTTTTATTAACAAACTCTGTGATTTCAAAGCAAGCAATTGCAACTCTGTATGGAGGGAGGGTACATTTTTATCTCCAGTGCATGAGACTGTGTAATCGGAAATTCTAAAGATGTGCTCTTTTTAAATTAATTTTGTGCTATTGCTGTTGAATTCACTTTTATGATTTGAGTGTGAAGAACATGATATTAAGTAAATAAATGTAACACACAAAATGTTAAAAAAACACCCATGTGAATGTAATCTGAAAGCTTTCAGATTTTTTTATTTATTTATTATTTGATATTATTATTACTCTTTTTAGGCTTGCTTTTGATGAAGACCGGCCCATTAATTTGGGAGACCCAGCCACTGTGCATGATATACACTCAGTAGCATCTCTTTTAAAAATGTATTTTAGAGAATTGCCTAATCCTCTTTTAACATATCAATTGTATGATAAATTTGTGGTAAGTTGCTTAATTTATTTGTTATTTTAGTTATGAACTGTAATTTGAAGAATGTGTTGTTATTGAAAATTTGTTGTTTTATGGATGTTTTTATATTGTTTTAAAATAATATGAAAAAAGTTAATGGAAGTTTTAAAAATAAAATCCAATTTTTTCGTATTTTGTATTTGTTATATTACAATTAAGTGTTCTGTTAAAATGTTATGTTTAATAGTAATAATAATAAAAACGTCATTTAATGGCTGCATAAAAGTGGACATGTTTAAGCATTATAACAAACAAAAACAAACAAAACAAAAAAAGTTCATATGATCAATTCTCGCAGTTTTTAATTATGTGGCATACATCTGTATCAGTAGATCCAGGATTGAATAATTTTTTGAAGTAAAGCTCTCTGTTTGGTACGGATTTAGGCATATATGAAATTTAAATTCCAACAGCAAACTTCGAAGTACATAGTTATTTCATAACATGTACTTCAAATTTGTAAAGACATTGAAATTATTAGTTCTGTATTTTAACTTGCATATGATACATATATATTTTTCATGATTGAAATCTTTTTTAAAAAAAGAATGGAAATCTCAAATAATATTCTTTTTAAAGACTTTTAAATTGAATTTGTTCTTAATTTAGAAACAGATTTACTTAATCGTACTATAAGCTGTAATAATGTATTTGTGAGGGATATAAGTAGTCTACTTTCAGAAATTTTTAAAATGCTAATAAGTTTCTATATTTTCAGAGTGCTGTTCAATCAAGTGAAGATGTAAGACTGTTGAGAGTGCGAGACGTAGTACAGCAATTACCCCCACCACATTTCAGAACTCTGCAGTATTTATTAAATCACTTGGCAAGAATTGCATCTCATGGTGAAGATACGGGAATGACACCAAAAAATATTGCCATTGTATGGGCTCCTAATCTTCTTAGGTAATTCTTTTTAGAATGCTTTTTAGAGTAGAGAGTTACTTCTTTTGTATTTTACTAGCAATTATGCGTAAAATTCTGTCTTTTCCCACCCAGAAGTGGGAAAGCTGTGTGTGCTAAGTGAGAAAATCAAATAATCTTTGTGTTAGAAATTATTAGTTCTCTTCATATTAGAACCATGAAAATTTTTCTGCACTTAGAATTATGACAGCAGTCAATGACTTCCATATGAAAACTTTTATTTTATTGCTTAAAGAATGTACAGATTCTTCCTGATGATTTAACATCTACTGAAAGATGTCGTGAATTTTTTCCTAAATTATTTGCACTGTTATAAGGTAATTAAAAATTATTCAACTGATGTGTAGATGTATGCATGCATATGTTTTATGCATGTAAGGCTCACATTTGTCTTTTGTATCACAAAAGAATTATTTACTTGAATATGTTGGAGCAATATTTTTATAGTTTGTTTGTTGTCTGAAAAAGAAAACAATTTTAGCTCATGTAATCTTCATTTGCATTTTAATATGCGAGTTCTAATCAACTTTCTTTCTCAATTTCATTATTATTTCAAGACGTTACCTTCCTTTATATGGTACAGCCATTGTCTTTTTAAAAACTAAAAAAATAAATAAATAAAAGTTGAAATTCTTTCCTGAAAACTTTTAAATAGCTATGCTAACAGGGTTCGTTAGCGGTCCTTATAAGTGCTTATAAGTCCTTATATTTGAAAATAAAATATAAAGGCCCTTATAGGTGCTTACTTTTTCTTTAAAGCCGTTATTTTTTACTTTTAGTGCTTATTTTTTACTTTTAGTGCTTTTTTTAATGAAAGCGCTATTTTTCCTCGTACCAAAACCGAAACTAAATAAACAACTTTTCTTCCTAATATGGAATGTTAGATAGTGAATCATACTCCCAGAAACAGCTTTTTCCCCTTTCTCTGCATTAACATAACCTTTGGTGTGCACGAAGAGTACAGAAAGGTGCCCGTCGTTCTATTGGTCAAAGAATTGCGAAAGCAATAGAAAATTCCTGTACATTCGGCATTCTTTTCCTCCCACCCAAATACTACACACATTTGAATTTCTATCAAGATCTCAATAATTTGCATTCTCGTTCCGCTTGGTCAGTTCATATTCGTGTTTATTATGATCGTTATGCTTATATTATGAGCATATGTATGAATATTTATAATAACATAATTGCAGTAACTGCTGAAATATAGTAAACTTCCAAAAATGGTTGTGTTTTAACACAGATTAGCTTTCTAAGGAATAATATTCGGAATGGCTTAAATAAAAATGGGAAAGTAATCGAATAGTCAAAATAATTTCATTTTTTTGGCCAATACATTATACAGTACGAAGATTGGGAGGTTCTCCCCTTTCTCCGCAAAATCTCGAATATTGAAACTATTACAGTTCGCTGCAAAACAAACAACAGACCTCTTTTTTTTTTTTTTTTTTCCCCTCACTTACCAATCTGGATTGAATAGGACTAAAAGTTCTGCGGTCTACCAACCCAAGTGAAGAATGATTCTATTCCGTAAATTTAGCGCCATGTGTTGAAAATTAGAATGAAACACACCCAGTTATTTACTTCTTTATTCTCCCAATACCAGCTGTTAGCAGCCAATAGCCAGCTGTTTGTTCCGATTGCATAATACCACATAGGGAAAAATTACGGTGCACGTATTGCGCAATAACGTTTGCGATATTTTGCAGAGATAATTAATTTTGATGCTCTGTCTGAGATTTGTTTGTGAACACTTAAAAGAGTTTTACTGTGCTTTCTGAGCAGAATATTTTTCAGTTCCATTGGTTTATTTTTTTATATAATGATGCACATATCAAAATGTCAAAAGCACTTATTTAGCGGAAAAATCTAAAGAGTGGCTACAGTCTACCCCCCCTCCATGCTCCTCTTTTTCAAGTTACGCTCGACTGTCCGAATATTCGCCAATATTCCAAGTATGCGGTTAGTAGTTAAGCTTTTGCTGTTAAAGGATGACTGCATGAAGAAGCAAATTTCTGTCTTCTGATTTCAGAAATGTTCCTCTTTTTTACTTAAATTACTTTGCTTGCAATATCTGTTAAGGGGAAAAGGGAAAACTGATATACAATGAAAATTTAGAAAATGTTCAGAATTTAGATTTAAATTATTTTAAATATCAATATGAGTGGAAAAAAAAATAAATGTATTTATTATTAGGTTCCAAGCGAATACAATAAATATGCCTTATTATTATTTATTTTTCTATTTTGTTGAACTGAAATTTCATCATTAATCTTGTAATATAGTTTAGTTCTGCATAGTTTTTTTTTTTTCTCTCATTGTAAACTAGTTCTGTAAATTGAACTGTTATAAAATTAAAAAAAAAAAAAAAAAAAAAAAAAAAAAAAAGAGTAATTATTTTTATGGTTGAGGTAATGCTTATTCTCTCATGATAAATACTGCATTTCTCATATTTTAAATTACAAGTCTAATTTTTAAGGTTATGCAGTTGTGTGTAATGTAATTAGACATGTGCTTATATTTTTTCTTAAAATGTGCTTGAAAAGTGCTTATAGGTGCTTATTTTTTTAACTAAAATGTGGCTATGAACCCTTGCTAAGGTCACCATTTCTGCATCATCCACTTGTGATGAACTTGATTACAGATATTTCTGATGAGCTTGACTATGAATACTTATGAATAGGTGTTCATCTTTTATTGACTTCTCACACACGTAATAATTTTTTGTTTGTAAAATTTTTTAAAGTAGTGTATTTTTAATAAATAATTCTTGATCACTTCATTTCTTGCTAAGGACATCCCCAAACATAACCCTGCTTTCCGCTAAGAGCAGCTGTGCACAAACAAACAAATAAGATGTCAGCAGACATAAATGCCAGTTTAATTTCTTTAGAGGTGCATCTACTTTATCATTTGACTATAATAGTAGAAAATGGTATTATGTTTCAGGAAACTTCCTGCTCAAACAAAATAAAAATTATTTAATCTTAGGCATTGTATAGTATAATATGAAAAGAACTGAAGATACATTCAAATTAATTACTTTTTGTATGCAGTCACAAATAGTGATGAAAGTAATCCAAAGAAAAACTTTCTGATGAAGTAAAATTATTGAAAGGAATAAAATCACTAACAAAACAAGAACCTCTAAGTAATTATCCTCATCCATTACTCTTCCCCCCCACACACACCTCCTCCTCAAATAAATTCAAATATTACTACAATGCTCATTACATTGGAGATACAAAAATTGTTGTTAGACAGTTATGTTCCAAAAATGTTCTACAAATTACATCCACCACTCACCGCAAACTGAATTAATATTTTTAAGGTAATTGCTGTTGATGATGCTTTCAAATGGCTCAAGGAGGTTGAAAGAATTTCAAATTTGGCTCACTGGTCAGATTAACTAAAATTAATTAATGCTATTTCTTACCTCAACAAATGTTGAAAAAAATTGGCGATTGGTTACAGATTTTTTTTTAAATTTGTTTTTTAAAAACAATTTTCTGTGAGCTTCTGAATAGTCTGTTACTGTTAGAATTTTTCAAAATAATTTTGTTGTAAACAGTTAATCTATTTATTACAGGTAGAGTAAGATTTCTATAAAATACTTGTTCATACCCTCTAGAAAGTGCTATTGCCAAATATATTTTACCATTTATTCAAAATAAGTATCACATTTAGTAGCATTTTATACTGTGATTTATGGATATCATTTCACCAGCACATTATTTCTTCATTTGAACGTAGTGTAATTGCTGTAGTTCTAGAGCAGTAAATATAGTTATTAATAATTTTATTGAAATGTATGGTATGTTGTTAATATAGGTTAGGATAATGTATATAATGTATACTGTATTTTCAGTTGTGGCCTTTTAAAATAATTTTCTCTTCAACACTGACACGTTATCATGTTATTTCTCTTCAACACTAACACATTTTTTAACACTGACACATGTTAAAAATAGTCTATTATTCAGTTGTATGTATGTTATAGATGGAAGTTTTAGTGGAATTATTTCTCATTTTAATCAGTCAAAATACTTAGATATGTTGCAAGTAGGTTTTTTTGATTTTATGCTTTTAAAAATGGTTGAAAAAATAATGATTGATTTGTTTTTTGTTTATTTTTTGAAAATAAAAAAGAAACATTTAGATTTTCATGTGGTGTATTTTTAAAGTTGCTAAGAAAATTCACAACATAAATTAATTATAGTACATAAAAAAAAAAAAATTGTTGAATTGTACTATTTTTCAATATAATCTGGCAGTTTTTGAAAATTTCTAGGAGATCAACATCAATGATATCTGTAGAGTCACATTTGAGCTACTACCACACAGTGGTTACATAGATACTGCCTTTGTGCCCTACACCTCCATAACTTCACAAATAAATCTTGGTATACCTGAGACATTTTATCTTCAGAAATTGCAATGTTCTTCCTACTTCAGTCATTGTGTAAGTTCCAGTTAGATGCTCTTTTTAGTGCTACTAGAAAGAAATTATCTTAAAGTATGGACATGAGATCTTTCTGTGCATGTGCCACTTTTGTTATACAGTCCTGCCATTTGCTGGCAACAGTCATTATGTAGTTTTATAATGTCTTGCTTGTCACTCTGCACTGTTTTTGGGTGCAGCAGTGATGCAAGAAGGAGTAATATAGCAAATAATGGTTTATGAAAGCAGCAGTCAGGAGAGTTTTAATGAAGTTAAAGGAAGCTCTAAAAAATAGCTTCCTGTGGATTTTATTCATTAGAGGCTTTGCATTTAGTAGTGTAGGAAACATTGATAATTTGTAATTTAGTTCAGAGTTTTAGAAATTAAAATCTATGCACAGTAAAAAATATATATGAAAAAAAAAAGGTAGTTACATTGTTTATGTTTTTATAGATCTCGAGATGTGGAAAATGGAGGAGTTGGTGCCCTTCATGTTGTAGGAGTGCAAGCAGTCTTGACAGAATATTTGATACGATTTGCAGATCTGATATTCGATGAAAAAATACCATTATTACCCTCTGATCAAGAAGGTACATTGATCTTGTTTATAAATTATGTTACAAATTTATATAGTTTAAAGGAATGAAACTTTTAAATTATCTTTTACAGAACTTAAGAGTAGCTCATTTATCTGAATATATGTTTTAAATACTTTTTTTATGTATTAAAATTTATAATTTCTAATCTAATTGTTATTTTTTTTTTTTTTTTTTTTTTAAACTTTGTTTCTGTATGGACTTGACAGAAAATATTTTTATGCTGTTTTCAGATGTATGCTGATAACATTTAGTTACTTTCAAAACAGCTTTTTTAAATTATTTTTTTCAATTACCACATAAATTGTAGGTTTAATGCTAAGGACTAGACCAAAATCATTAGCCATTTCTACTCCCACAAAACTGTTGACTTTGGAAGAGGCTCGAGCTCGAGCACTTTCTACTCATCTACCTCTCACACAGCAAAAATATATTGAAGTTGGAGGAGGTCCTGATAAACTGCCTTCAAAATATCACACAGTTATAGAATTACCATCTGGGTAAGAAATATTTCTTTTAGTAGCAAGAATTAATATTTGCTTCTTCTCTGAAATTACGTTTGTCAAAAAAACGGAAAATTTAGATTGGGCAAGGAAGAGGAAAAATAATTATCTTGCGACAGTAAATAAGGAATAAGTTTTATTTGATAAATGTATATGTATATATGCTGCACTCCATTTTTTTTATAGCTTTTCTTTTTTCTGCATAATGTGGTAATAATATGCAATGTAAAAGTAAGCAAAAACGCAATGTTTGATTAGTATAGAATTTAAACTATTTTGTTTTGAAATGAATATTTCATAGGTCCCATTTCTTCAGAAGCAAAAAAAAATTTTCTTGCAATTAGACTGTGCAGTACATTAATAAAGCCACAAATAAACTTCCAAAGGGTTTTTGTAATAATAACTGGAAAAAGTTATGTATTTAAGAACCAAGGAACATTTGTTAAAGTTAAGATGGTTTTTGGCCCCCTTTTTTAAAAAATTTTTTTTTAGGACAAAACATGTATAAACTAATCAAGATAGATTAATTCAGATATTAGTGTTAATAATTTATCAGAGTAATTTTCAGTCTGCCATATGTAAAAATTAATCTATTTTTAGATATTTCATGCTAAGTTCATCTTAAAATTTAATGAGAGAATAGTCGTATTTTGTTTATGAAAAGCTCCAGTTTGGTTAACAATTACAACTGAAGTTTATTTGCACCCCACAAATAAACATCAGTTGTAAATTTGCATCTTGAAAGTGCAAATAGTTGTTGTTGAGAGTTACAAGATTTCGGCTTATTGGTTTATTTTAATTATGGCAAAGCCTCGAGGGCTATCTGCCTAAGGGAAGGGATGCCTTCGCAGAGGACTTTCTAATGGAAACCAGCTCATATATACATTACACATGGGGAAAATCACAAGAACACCCATGTAGCCATCCCATTCGTGCAATTCAAATGGACCGAACTACCAGTATTCAGCGACCTTACCACTCGACCACTGGTGTGCTCTACAAGATTTTGATTGACAATTCAGTGGGAATTCTCAGAATGGCAGTTACAAGACTTGAGCTTTGGAACTTTGCAACTGAATAAGAAATTGTGTCTATCTCTAAAATTTACGAGAAAGCATTAGCATGAAAAGTGAAATAGCTTAGCCGACTTACATTATTAGAAATGTTTAATAAAGCAAATAAATGTGAAGCTTTTTTGTATATTTTAATTTCCTTAATGTCATAAGTGCTTCACTGTTTCATAAACAGCTATTTCATACTTTTAATTTTATAATTTCTACATGTCATTGTACTAAATTTAAATTGATGATCTGAAATGATGATTGATCTGGAAATTTCCAAAATCTTGAATCATTGGTCCCAACTATTCCAGATCTCATACTTTGTACTATGCAACTTATGTATTTTTATTTAATTATTTATTTATTTATGTTGCTGGCATTCGTAATGCAGACTGAATAGCTTTACTTCTCCGAACGGTATCTGATATACCAATTATCAATCTCAATTATGATGCAAAAAATCATAATGTATAATCTAATATATAATCAAAGTATATAACTTTTAAATATGCTTTCCTAAATACACTGAAAGCTGTTTAACATGACCTTGCACAGTTACAGACAATTTTGATATCCTACAGAGATGACTGCCTTGGAAAACATAACTGTTGATGATAAGTATTAGTGAATTTTAGTAATAGTGAGTAAATTTTCTGAAGAAACTTCACTGTTTTACACAGATATTTCCTAACAGTATGTTAATATTATGATTGCTTATGGTTTACACTTAATATCATGATTGTTTACTTTTAATAGAAAACATGGCTTACCCAAGTTAAAGAAGTCTCCTTCTGGTTGGAAGTCTTTTTTCTCCAGAGGCTGGTACTCTGGAAGTGCCCGTGACAAAAGTCGTACTGCATTTAGGACCTCAAGAAAGGCTAGTACTGGTTCTTTACCACATCCCTCTGGTTACATGCAGGTAATAATAATGTCTTTACTGTTTCTCTTTCTGGCAAACAAGGCATTAACAAATTTATAAAATTTTAAAACTCTATTAAAATAAAATGAAGGAAAAATATGTAAACTTCCCCCGTGGCAAGATAAAGTGATGCATTTTCTCTCTCTTAAACTTGCTTTAAAAAAAATCTATAAATAAATAAATAAAGTATTAACTCTTAAACTTCTATGTGTGTGTATAAGCATTTCCTTCACTTTCTGACATGGGACTTGTTAAGAGTTTAAAAAAAAAATAGCAATTCATTTAAATTTGCTTAACTGAGAATCGAAATCCATAGCAATAAAATACTGGTTTCCCATATTTTTTTAAACTTAACTTCATTTTTACCAAGTTGGTTTGACTGTTTTGTTTATGCTACAGTTGTCATCTAAATTAAAGGATAATGACCGAAATAAAATGTAAGAAATTTGTTTAAAAGTATTAGTTAACATAAATTACAGTGTATGGCAGTTCATATTCACAAAATATTGAAATTAAAACCAAATTTATGGAAACTGAAAAATGTCAGAATAATTAAGTCACCTCTTGTGGAAAAACTTTTTCTTTAATATAGTGTATAATCACCTTGGACTGATACGCATACATCACATCTTAATTTCATGGACTTGTTGATCAAGTCTTGTGGAATTGGAAATCATTCTTTTAAAAGTGCAGTTTTCAGCTGTGAAGGGTCTGTGGAGAAATTTGGCATGCTAAAATTCATTGCCCTAAGGCATCCCACATATGCTCAGTCTGGTTCAAGTGAGTAAAGTGACCAGTCCATTTAAGTGATACCTTTTGTTTGCTAGTATTCTGACACCATATTTGCTGGTTGGCACCGAACATCTTTTCCATTAGCTTAAACGCGGGGCCAACAGCACCTCTAAACAGTCTAACCAGGGGTTCCATTACTTCATCCATATATCTCCAAGTGGTTACAGAACCTTCTTGAAAGATATGCAAACTCAATGTGGCTATTTGTTATGATTCAAACCATTAAACTACGGTCATGTAAATGGGATATATTCACTGACGAGGGACACCAAGTTGCGTGTTCCTCTCTCCGTCTCCACTGAACGTTGTGATGGCAGCAGTTTAAACAAGCCCCTCTAGAATCTAGAGTGAGTGAGACACAAACCATTGGTTTTCTTGCATGCAGTCTAATCTCGTTAAGCCTTCGTGCAGCAGTAGAATGGCAATTTGAGCTCCTGTGGCTGCCTGAAGGCCTAAAACCAAATCTCTTGTAGTTGCTTCACAGTTTTTTTGAGCTGACAATGACAGAAAACAGATGATGAATGCAATTGCACTTGATTCCCTTTGACCTGGCTGTCTGTCAACTGATTCAATGCTTAATAAGTGGCTCCAAACTGTATGACACTATGATATGACACTTTCAGGGATATTCAAATCTTGGGTGACCTCCATTTGTGTTTTACCTCCCTCAAATCTACTGTTTATTCACCACTTCTGACCTTCACTTACGTGATACCTTTAAGCCATAAATACTGAATACTGATCAGTCTCAGATGCCACATTTACTTAAAACAACGCTACAGACGTGAATTTCAACATATGTCCATTATGCACTACATTGTCAATCACCAAATTAGCCTATTTCTGAAGCTAATTTTGTGTTTAATTGTGTTTAATTAACAAAAATAATTACAGCATTGGGCATTGGTTGCAACATTAACTTAGTAGTGTTACTAAGTTTTTGACCTTGCAACTTATTTATGGCCTCAAGGATTGATGGAAACCAGGTGATGTATTAAAGATCAAAGTGCATTTAATGGCTCCAAAGCCAATATTTCAAAGTCTTTCACTGTTCAGGTATTGGTTGTGAGTTTGGCCTCCATGATGCTATATTATTTTTACTGAAAAGCTAAAACTAAAAAAACTCAGATGCTATTTATGTTTACAAGAATAAGCAAAATGTTCAGATTGTACTCAGCATGTGTTTTATGCAATGATTGCAGAGAAATCTGACTTTAATTGTGAAAAGGGCATGTTGGTATAGGTCAGCTTTGCAGGAATCCTTTAATTACCTATGTATTATAAAAGTAACAGTAAAAATCTTACTATGTTGCCATAATTGGCAACAAATCATAAATATTGGCATTTGGCTTGTGGCCATGAGAGCTGAAGCCAGAATACTCTAGCACGTGCAAATAATGGTGAAATGTTAGTAGATAATTTTCGTCTTTCTTACTGCATCCTTGTCATCTTAATGAACCATTTTATTTTTCTCTGTAAAATAACTTCTAACTTGATAAAAAAACGTATTACAGTAAAAGTCCAGAAATCTGAAAAGCTTGGGACCAGAGGTTGTGCGGGTTTTAGGATTTCAGAACAGAAAAGATAAACCATAATATTCAGACTAAAAGTGCAAAATAAGTAAGGCATATTAGATACATTTAATTAAATTATTATATACATTATTACAATAATTTATTATATGCATTATTAAATTATTATTGCATGTATAAATTGATTATATTATTCATTTACATTCATGATTACAGGGCTATTTAAAAGCATTGGGGATGTATTCAATAGACACATAAAAATAAGGGATATTAATAAAGCAATAAAATATTTCATTTTTTTACATGTTTCAGGGGGGAGCAAATTATATATAGAGTCATAATCTCTTGCTTTGTGACACAGCTCTGATCTAAAAATATTAGTTATTTTTCACCATGTTCCAGACCCGCATTAAAAGATATTTTCTCACTTCTATCAAATTCACTATCTGTGTCGGTATCGGAATTGTCTTCTTGCTGCAAAACAGAGTCAATGATTTCATCATCAGTCATCTGATATGCCAGTGTTGGCTCATCTGAACACATCATCCATTTAACAACATCTTCTTCTTGCAAAGCCTCCTCATTTGTTCTTTCTTTCGAATGTAAAAGCAATTCTTTTGCTTTAACCCTTGCTGTAGTGACCCTAAAACCAGAAAAATCACTGTCATCACTTTCAGTTTCAATAACACTGTTTTTACTAATATTGTTTTAACTAATGTTGTCCAGCTAACAAATAAATGCAGTCTTTGATGGTGAATATTTTTTTTTTTTTTTTTTTAATATAATGACAAAGTGGAATAGAATGGTCACTTGGAAGAATTTTTTTCAGAAACTCTGATTTATAGTGGCATTTAATACTGCGTATTATGCCCTGGTCTATTAGTTGGATCAGTGATGTAGTATTTGGGGGCAAAAAAAGGGCCATGACATTATCACATGTTAAAATGGTTGCATCTGGATTTGCAGAGCGGTCTAACAAGTAATCTTGCAATTTGATGTAAAAACCCCACTGTTATGATGCTTTCTAGCCTCTTTAATGAAATGCTCCATGAACCATTCAGTCATAAGTTGTTTTGTGAACCAGGAATTTTTATTATTCCTGTAAATCACATGTAAGGATTTTACTTTTTTTCAGAAGTCTGGGATTGATGCTCTTACCGACTACCACTGTTTACATTTGTAAGTTCCAGCTGCATTGCTGCATACTAAAATGGTAACTCATTCTTTAGCTTCTTTCACCCCTGACGGTGCACTTTTTTCACTTGTCACAAATGTCTTTCTTGGCAAACATCGCCAAAAAAGTCCAGTCTCGTCCATTTTAAAAACATGTTCTGGGCTAAGATTTTCTTCTGCCACTAACACAGATAATTCATCAATAAATTCCTCTGCAGCATCTTTATCTGCTGAAAGTTTTCCCCCACATGCTTTCAGATAACCTATACCATGTCTCTGTTTAAATCTTATCAGCCAACCGCTGCTGAAATCACATGGCTCCTCTATTTTTAAATCAGCATGAATCTGCTTCCCCTTTTCTCTCAGAAGAGGTTCTGAAATTGGTACCTCATCACTCATCACTTCGCCGCTGCCGGAACCACTTGTACAAGACAGCATCGAGGTTTGTCGATTTCGCCTCATGCAAAGATTTCTGGTGTTCAAATCACTGTTGTTGTAAAATTTCAGTGGCTTATCTTTATTTCTCCGTATATCATATACAGTTCGTGTTGCAATTCCATATGATTCTGCTATAAACCGAAGAGTAGCAACTGCCTCCATCTTTTGCAGAATTTCCACTTTTTGCATTACCGTCAATGCAACGTGTTTACATTTTTCAACATTGCAAGCAGTAAAATCATGAGGGTGTTTCCATTGTATTAAAAAGTGCTGAAACTAAAATTTCGTAATTCTCACAAACTATCAGATAAAAACTAGCAGCATTAAAGAATCGCGTGAAAAAAAAAAAAGCTCAGAAATCAACAAACGTGAATCGTGAAATTTGAAAGAAGAGGGAGTGAATAGTCGTTTTTTAATCAATGCCCTTGGAGGGAAAAAAAGCTTTCATGATGCAATTAATGGTTTTCTTATTCTTATTAGTTCTTACGACACATTATGGGTAATATTTTTTCTTGATTATTAGGCCTCAATGTTGCAGTTTCTGGAACCTATAAACTGAATGTTTATATTCTGAGAGGCAACGCGGATTTCAGGTCAGCGGATTTTCGGTATTTGACTGTATTTGATAATGGAATAGAACTTAATCAAACTATCTGAATACAATACATCAATTTGAAAGGAGAAATTAAAAATATATTGATGTAATGTATACTTATATTTGCCCCTTTATATTAATCAATGAACATATGTTCAATGAATACAATATCTGTCTTCATTTATTTATTCATGTCTGATTTGATTTGTTATTAAGTTCCTCGTCTAAAAGGTTTTTTTATACGTAATTATTTCTGATTTTGAAAGCAGTTATTCTTTATTATGAAGAATTAATGAAGTGGAAGATAATTATTTTATAATTTTACCTAATTTTAGAGCTTTAAAGTAGTTCTGAGGGGGGGGAGGTTAAAAATTTTTTGAGAATATGAAATTATTAATAACAAATGTACCCCCGCAAGGTTCCTATTTTTAAACGTGATTGTTTGAAACAGTTTTTAGTTGGAAAATAAGCTCTTAGTATAACGCATTAATAACATAGAGCAAATAATAGTATATAATATCCATTTAATTATTAGTTTTCAGCTCTCTGTCATTAAATTGATTAGATTTTTTTAAATTTTAGTCTTGATTAAAAGTGATAACTAATAGGAAACAGTATCTAAATTTCATTTTTTTTTTTGTTGTTTTCATCCTTGCTAGGTCCAAAATCGAAATTTTATACTTGGAGATGATGAAATAGACATATCTGTATGCTTATTTTACCATTTCCAACTAAACTGACCTGCCTGTTGAAAGGTTATCTAAGTGCTCAATATCTTCACAAATGTAATGTTTTATACTTAACCTACTAAAGAATGCTAAAAATTTTAATACCTATATACCTTACTGTGCAGGGATCTGATAAAAAGTTAGATTTTATATTATGAACCTTCACATCCTCATTGCTGAAAATGTTCTCATGAAACTTTTAACCTTAGTTTGAGAAGCTGTTTGATTGGGTAGTTCTATCTATAAAGAATATTAAACAAAGATGCTTTATTTTAACCACCTTAAGAACTGCAGAATTTTATCTTCTGTGAGCTTTTAAATAGATTATGCACTGACTGTAACCTTGATATTTAAATATTAATTCAGAAAAAACATAAAACTTTATTCTCTCTTTTTTAATTTCATATCTACAAAGTCACTCTGAAATTTTTTAGATGCAGCTAAATGGTGAAAATTAAACTTACCACATGTTAAGAGTGCTTAGTAATTCCCTCCAACATTAGTGCACTTTTGTAGGTGAATTTTCCAAAGATTAAATGTTTCAAGCCATCCATTTATTGGAATTAAAGAAAAGTGTGCTTTTATAGCTTCATTAATCTCACCTTTGGAATGAAATGCCTCATAATAGACATTAAAAAATAGCCAAGAGTTACAGCAATATCAAGAGAAGAGAGTAGAGGTTCTATCAGGATGAAACAGGAGTACCCTAATTTTCATTGGGGGCATCTTCAGAGACCCACTTTACTTTTTTTGATTTGTTGAAATGTCAGAATGCATCTTATCAAAATTAAGGATTTGGAAATAATGTGATGTCTACCATCATAAAGAATCTTAGGGTTTCTTTTTGATTCTGACACACTGTGCATTTTGGTGCTTTAATTTTTTGGGACTCAATGACAAACTAATTTTTTTGTATGCAGTTCATCATGGATATTTTTATCTATAGCTTTAGATCTAGCATTAGATATCATTAGTTTCATCTATGTCTAGAGATTCTGACTGCCAGCTGTACTGATGGACTCGGGTTCGAATCCTGGAGAATGCACAAATGTAAGTGTATGATGCCTGTACAGCAAGGAGGCACTCAAAATACATGGTGAGCCAAAAGTCTATCAAGGGGGCCTTTTTGAAGGGGAAGAGGGGGAGACCATCAGGCCACCTTTAAGGTTGTTCTCCCTCAAAATTGGGGTGAAACTGCACAATTAGTTTAGTGAGACTATACCTATATCACCAACGGTAAAATTATGATGTCCTGCTCACTTCTACCTGTACCTGTATCATTTTAAAAACACAGCGATTATTAATGATTAACATTTTTCATAATATCAGTCCATCTACTGAGAGACTACAGATGACAAAGTTCTTTCTGTGTTTCTGTATCCAGGAAAAAACTTTGACTTCCACAAAATTTGGTAAACTATCTGAATTCAGTGTAGATGTTGGAGGCTTTCTTCTTGATTTAGCCCCACTTTAAAATCATAGAAAATCATAGCACGGTAATGCTTTCACATGAGTTCTATTTTTTTGTTTCCTTCAAAATTTATTCTATGATAGATAAATTTCAGTTGTTGCTACAAATTATTATCTGCAGTCATAAAAGATTTCACATTTACACATCTAACAAATACTTCTCTTTTAGTGTGCATTGTCTGCCCGTCTAAAAAATTCCAGGTTTACGTATGTATTTATGATACTATTGTCAAGTGTGAAATGTAAGATATACTTTATGCAAGAGTATGAATTTGCAAAAGACTTCTATAAAACAATAGAAACCACATGGTATTCAGCTCTGGAGCAAATTTGTTATTTCCCCCCTCTCAAATGCATTGTTTAATAGTTATAGATAGATGTACATTATAAGTATATAGATACAAATGAGTCAAATAGTTTATCCCCCCCTCTTTTTTTAAAGAATTTATGTGACCTATTAAAATATGTTAAAAGTCCAATTAGTTTTTATCCTTTTATTAGTGTTTTAGAAAGATAAAGTAATAAATAAAATTCTGTTTGTTTTATATATATGGTTATTTGTTATTATTTTGCTGCTATTTTATATTAATTAGTATTATTTTGCTGCATAACCTATTTTTGTAGTTCAACTATTGAGCAGGTTTAGTAGCTTTAGTGCATTTTATTCAATTTGTTGTTTTTGCATGCTAGGTAGCACAAAGTATGATATATTGCTTAGATAACAGTAATTAGATAGTTTGCCACTGAAAGTCATTATTCTGTTTAAAATTATAGTATGTTAACTTTGGTCTCTTAATAGATTTTTAAATGTTATAATGGTAATTTGTGCCTTTTTGAGAATTAAGTATACAGCTCCACCCAAAATTTGCTTATTTTGCCTCTGTCATAATGATGAAAACCTATGGATACTTTTCTGCATCCATACATTCCCCTCCCCTCTCCATGTAGGCTGAGTTGCTTTTCATGAGATAATGAAAAGCAACTCAAGAATAGATCATGATAATGAAAAGCAACTCAAAATATGACTCAAGAATAGAGTCATATTTTGTGCTTTACAAATTTATAAAATGTTTGAAAGCTGTTCAGTTTTAGCATATTTAATTAACAAAAAATTCTTGGAACACTTGTTTTTAACCCCTTCGAGCCGGGTAGCGAAAACGCGCGCTTATCGCGGAGGCCGGCAGTGTCTTCCGCGAGTGTCTCTCCAGGCCCGGGGGCTTTTTTGCTACTAAGCCTAAATCCATGAAATTTCCGAAGTATCAACGCATTGTTTAATAATGCTCTATAGAGTATTTAAGTATTTAAAGGCTTATGCTTTATAGATATTCTATATATATATTTAATTTACCTTATTTCTTGTTAAATGCATATTTTACACATTTTATTTTAATTACTCACCATTTTATGACTTTTAACATTATACCTCTGAAAACATAAATATATTACTTAAAATTCTCTTTTCATATGAAAAATTTTAAAACAGGGATCTACACACAGTCTTACGTTACATTCCTTGAACTCGTAATAACTCATTTGCCGTTTTGGAGGATTTTTCCAGGAATGTGAACAAACGAAGCATCGTCGCCTCATTTTCTTATCAATCTCTTCTGAACAAAGTTTTGGAAAATGTCTTTCAGTTAATCTTTCAGAATCAATATCAGAATTTCAGAATCAATATCTGAAATATTTTGCATCATTTCTGCTATTTCATGCTCTGTTAAACATTTTCGACGCTTCAACATTGAAATGGTAAAAACAGAAAGAATTCACGTCTAACAAGATCTAATTATTTTCTAAAAACTGAACTGTAAATGGAAATACTCAATGCTTTAGCGCATATAAAACTTCTACTTACAATAAACAACTACCACATGCGAATAAAGTGCGATTTAAAGAGACGTCATAAATCACGCCATTCGGAAACATTTAGTTCCCCGTTTGTTTATATAATCAAAAACACGTGTATGTGAGTCATGCTTCTCTCATTTCGAGTAGAAGGTCTAATGCACATGTATCTGAAACCATATGGACATACAGTGCCATCTTGTGGCAGAAATTATAGTTTGAAAAACGTTCCAAGGTAGTGGCACAAATACGTGACAGTCGGTAGAGAATGCAACAATCGTCTGGCACGCCTGCGTGTCGGCCGGTGATAAGTGTGTTCGTTGCAGGCACGTATACGTGACAGTCGGCGCGAAGGGGTTAAATTTATGAAAATGTTAGTTATATGTTTAAAAATAAATGTTACTTCATTTATTTCTCTGATATATTTCTGTCTTTCAGTTGTACATTTTATTGGTATTTTGTAACTTCTTAATGCAACAATTGTAGTAATTTTATTCTTTGTTTCATATATTGTAATTTTAATGAGATTTTTGTTATTTTTTTCAAATATAATGGCTGTGTTTTAAGAAATAACATGTAATTTTAGGAAAAATCGTCCGATTCAGAACCAGACGCTCCCTTTACGCACAGGAAAAAGTTACGAACAGTCAAAAGTGCTGAATCTCTTGTTCACTGTGTCAAAGAATCTCCTCAAAGTACAAATCAAGATGACATGTCTGGCAAGTATATTTTAGTGCTAAAAATATTAATTATAAATTAAGAAAGTTAGCCTTGCATGATAGCAAATCATTTTCATTAAGAAATAAACATTTAAAAATTAAATAAGTTTTAACATGATTTGCTTAGGTTTGTTAGTTGAAGTAATGAGAATAGGTAATAAATATGAATAAATTTTATAAATCAGCATATTATATTGCATAAAAAGTGTCATGTAGCTATTTTTTTAGAAGTTTTTCACAAACATATTCTTTTTTTAGTTTGCTTTTATGAAAATAATTATTAAATCAGCTACATATCCCCATGTCTTCCAAGTTTTGGATTGTATATTATTATTGTAAATTAAGGCAATATTTTGCATTTCCATAGTTGTAATAGTGCTGGTAACAGCAGTAGGACTTAATTAAGCAATTATGTAAAAATCAGCCTGAAAATTAGCATATCTGATACCTCTAGTAATATCTGAATAAACTGAAAGTGGATATTTTTAACTGTTGTAAAGTGTAGTATTTATAAGTTTAAATTGCCTGTCATTGTAATATGCTCTGTTACATTCAAATTACTTATATTTATGACAAATTGTTTACTTCTAATTGAACAGAAAAAAGGTAAAAAATTAATTTAGGGCCCATATTAACAAATTTTATTTCTTAAAACTTTTATAACTAATCTGTTTTCATTTGATAGTGTTATAATCCTTCTAAGTAGAATGGTGAAACAGATTATTTATGTATGCTTTTTAATCATATATAATTCTTATGAAAAAATGTACACCGCTGACTTCGTAAAGTTTCTTCCCCCCCTTTTTTTTAAATCACTCATTTTGTAACAGTAATCTGTTTTGTTATGTGATAATACTGCATATTGAAATTAAGATGATATGCTCTGCTGCTTTGAAATTCAGCAAAGATTTCTTAAATATATCACATAGTAATTGAAATGTCATTAAATATTGAAAAGTGATTCATTTCCGTATAAATATAAATATTACAGCAAAGTTTGAAGTCCAGCACTCTATAGAATGCTTAGGCATTGTATATAATGCCTAAAACTAGCTGGCAATGAATGAAGCAATTCATATTTTATACATTTCCTAGGCATTTTATAGAATGGCAAATGACAAACCGGCAAAGTATGAAATACATTTCTGAATTGTTTCGAAGAACCAAACTACTTACCAAAAGTTAATAAATGATGTAAAAAGGTCAAAATGACTACTAAGAAGGAACCACGAAATTACTGGCTGCTGAATCTCTAGGATGTGGTGTTTGTGGAAACAAAATTGCATTCATTTATTCTGTTAAAGAAAGCGTGAGTGCTATACAGTGTCATGTCACAGATCTGAGTTATTTCCTCTACTTCAATGAAAACTCATTTGAGTACTGCACACAGACAACATGACAGAATGTTCTCAATGAAAGAACTTTCAATTAAATACAGAAACAGTACATATAATGATATTGGACTGTACCTTTGTGAGCCCTGTTAAGGGGGAAAAAAAAAAAAAAAAAAAGGTACTAAAAAGGTCATTGTTGTGAAACTTATGATTGTTTCTGAACTTAATTTCCATTGTCAGATAGATCTTACTGATTCCCAGTCTCAACCATACAGAAAATACAAATTTATTATGTTGTATCAAGATCATCTCACTATCTTTTTTTACATATTTTGAATAACAGTTTTTTAATCCTTTGGGTACATTTGATGACTTAGATTTGTTTGGCCTAAGTTATGGATAATGAATCTTAATCATCATTCAAACTAGGACAAAATTAAACATGTACATTCTTGTGCATGCCAAAAGTGATTGGTATGAGTTATAAGAGGATGTTTCTTCCAGTACTTCAGTGAATGTTGTTTTTGAAAAGTCAACAGAAGAATTTTTTCAAATAAACCCGTACCCTAAGGGTTAATGGCACTGTTTCATTAACTTTTCAAAATAACATTTGTATTTTTGAGGAATGAACATCTTTTAAATAATAGCCATATCATGACCTTCTTTTCATACTTTGCCTACAGTGCATTTGTCATTTTATAGAATGCCTAGGGAAAGTATGTAATGATTCTTATATTTCATACTTTGCCTAAAATCATCTGGCATTATATTCTGTGAAATGCCGGCGTTTTGTACTTTGCCGGCGACATATATAAGCCATAAATTTAAGTTTTCAATTCACCTTTGTAAACAGATTCTCTTGATTTTCCTGAAAGCTAAGAGTAAAAATGTATATTTACCATATTTTTCATAGACACTACGAATAACTTTAGAAGAATTTTTTATTATTTTCTTTTTATTAAAATTCTTAAAAAATAAAATGATGTTTTTTGAAGGATGCTTAAAACAATAATCTCACTTTTTGATATTTATTATATTTTAGAGGTGACTTTTGGAAAGATGTCTGAAATGAAATCATGTTTGAAATTGTAGTTTTATGTACAGTTTTATCAAGCCAATTTTTATTTTGCACTCCTTGTGATCAACGGAATAATAGAGGATTTATTTCTTGACCTTGTATCATAAGAATCACTTTGCTCCTTCATTTATTTTTATATCATCACTGAGTGCCAGTAAAAAGTATTCTATAATCGCTGCCATTGTAGAAGGTACAATGCTAGGCAAAGTCAGCTTCCAAACAGTTGAATCCAATATATTCATACTGTTTAAATCCTAAATAAAGCATGAATATTTATCTTCAGTAGTAAGTAGTATCTTTACTGTATGAATGTATTTAAAATCTCTCTATCTCATGAACATCCCCTGAAATTTCATTCCTTTACTTTTGGTCAAAGTTGAACATAAAACACTTGTGATAAAACTGGTTACACTTGTGATTGATCTGTGAGGCATGATAAGTGATAAGTCGATAATGAAAATAAAATGCTGTTTATGAAAATCAGCCACCTCCCCTCAAGGCACCTTTTGTACTGTAATATTTCTGGTTTTGATCAGTGAGGGTATGAAGTGTTGAACATTTTTAATTATTAAGTTTTTGATCTTTTAGAAAAGTAATTCTGTGTAAAAACTGGGAATTTAGTAGTAAATCAGCAATCTTTTTTTTGGGGGGGGAAGGCTGGTGTTTGAAAATGTTTTTTACTTAAATATTTGTTAGAATTTTGTTTCCTCAAAATTATAGCAGTGAATTTTAAAGTTTAATTTTATCATATTCCATCATCAATAAATCCTTAGATGCCAAGAAAAGTGTTTATGTAGTTCATTTTATTACTTAATTTTTCATTTCGTACTAACATTATATTTTAATCTTATGATTGGTTTAAGTATAAGCTATCTGTAAAGGTTCATTCCAATTTAGTTAATTAGCATAAATTTAAAAAAATTAACTGTAGCAATAGTTATTTAGCTTATTGTGGTTTGATGCAGTCTAAGCTGACCTTTTGACTGATTTGAAGTAAAACATTATGCTTCATTTGTTGTGTGTTAAATTTAGTTCCTTACTGAGATGATGGACAAATGGAGTCAGGTAGTGCTCAATTATTTCCATGATACTTCGAAATGATAATGAATTGTTTGAGCATTTTTTATCTTCTACATACTGCTTGTTCTCAAATATTGCCCTTATTGGAGCAGGGTTCCTCCTTCCCCCTCCATAAAGTTAATTTTGAATTTGGCTTTATTGTATCATCATTTCAAATGTACTGCAACTAAAGCAAGATCTCCTGCATATTGTTAGCATCCTACATCTTGTTTTCATGATAGATAGAACAGGAATGAAAAATCAATGCTTTTTTCACCAAAATAGGTTAAGAGTTATAGACTTGCTATATATTTATATTAATACAGCTGTGAAAATAGCACTAATATTATCATTAAACTGATTGGCTTTAAGTAAGTACTAATGCTGTAATTAATGTTAAGTATACAGTTCACATTTGGACACAAGTATGAGGTAAGTTAATTTTAAGTTTACTGTTTATATGTATTAGCACTGATCTGGTAGTTTCCCATTTGTATTTACATCTGTCCTTATTAAGAATAATAAATGGCATTTGAATTCGGAAGAAAGATTTTATTATTATTGCTCTTTTTTAATGCTAATGTAGCAACAACAAAAATATTAAAAATAAATTTTATGTTACTTTTACATTTTTGCATCATGACATTAAACACATCTTGTGTTTAATACCCATGATGTATCTGATTTAATGCCATTTTACATTACTGGAAAAGTTACTAATTCTTGAGAAATAACATATGGAACAGTGGAGCACATATACATAAACTATTTTTGTGCCGATACTAAAGGCAGCCAAACCAAAAAGGCAGTATATGACCAAAAAAAGATAAAATTGCTAGTGCAAATTACCAGAAACATTTTAGATTTAATTAGAAAGTGTGTGTATCAGCCTAGTATTCAAATGTTTTGCCTTCTTCAGACTGATATCATAAGTTCCGAATTACTTTTCTATGATATCCTGTATTTTAATATGCAAATTTCTGTCAACTCTTATGTATTTAATTTGGTCAAGTCTTCTGATTTTGGAAGATGAAACTGTATTTTGCATATAGTTTTGCTCATACTATTATGACATTATACAAACTATATATCTATCACATAATTACTGTTTTTATTTTATGATGATGTTATTTTAAGTTTTATGTATCATTTTGTAGGATTTAGTAGGTTATTTTTTGGAGCTCTTTTATTTTGGAATTTCGTCATTATGATCCTTTTATAGTAAATTAAATGCGTATTTTAATAAAGTTTACATATTTCAGGTGGTAGCAGTCACAAGTCATCTCCTCAAGTATCTGTAGATTCTTCAAATTCATTGGAAGTATCTTTGCCATCATCGAAGTCCCCAGGTCTGCAAAAGCATACTCGCTCCAGCTCTCATGAATCTTACTTTGAAAATAATGGTATGGATATAATCTCAGATCCATCCTTTGAAGAAGATGAACATGGACTATTGTATTATGTTAGTGAACAAATGCGAATGCTTCAGGATTCAGAGGCATGGGATACTGGGGAGTCGAAATACAGGAAAGATCTGGAGTGCAGTAAATCAGCTGAAACGAATAACTTGTGTGAAATGGAATCTGAAAAATCTTGTGATTCAGAGAAAAATGTTCGTAAGCAGAAACTTTCTGCTGGGGATGATTTTGCTCAAGCTAAATTTCAGAAACTTAGTGAGATGGACTTTGAATGTGCTTCAAGTCCATCGTCTGCCATTTTCAAAACTTTTGATTCTGCTAGTGATGATGCCTGTTGTCACATGGATTGCAGTCACAGAACTTTAATCTTAGATAAGTCTCAAACTGTAGACAACTTTCATGAAGCAGATGATGAAAGTTGTCAAGACAGACTTTCTCCTGCTGATGATGTATTAACTCTTGATCCTATAACTTTATATGATGCCATTCTTAATAAGCGCACTTCCCCTGTATCATTGCCAGATGCTGAGAATGATCCAAGTAGTCGAACAGTAGTAGAACGATATGGCAATGCAGAAACTGTGTTAGTTGAAGTCCATGCAACACAAGATAGTTCAGAAGAAGAAGAACATTCTCTAACTGATTCCTGTAACACAAATGAGAATAAAGAAGAGTCTTTTGAATCTCTACCTGATGCAATACAAACTGATAATACCTATAATACAGAATGTAATGAATCTAAACTTCAAATAGCTGAACTTCCTTCTTCTAGTACCGAATCTGTAAAATCAAGTGGCTCACCAGATATTTTCCCATCTGTTTTCAATATACATTCAGATCCAGTAACAGAGCAAAGCAATGTTAGTTACTCAAGCTCATTACCTAAGGCAGATGATGCTGATGTTAGTGAAAATGTTTTAAGTTCTGCTGCTGCTGTTACTTCTGATATTAAATTATCTGAAAAAATATTGTGTGATCAACAGAGTAGGAATCTGCCTTGTGCAATTGAAACTTCCAGTAAAATTGATTTAATGGATGAAGATGTATTAAAAGATGTAAAAGTAAGAGAAAAACAGCACGATTCAAACTTGGAGGATCCCTCATCACGGAAGAAAGTTTTAAATTTGAAATTAGATAGTTGTACCAAAAAAGGCTATACATTTGATAGATCAGAAGAATTGGATGGATATCATTCTTTCAGTATTAATACCCCACCATCCCCAGTTTATCCCCCTAAGAGCTTAAAATCACATGAATTTCAATCTTTAAGGACTAAAATGGAAACTATTCCTTTACATAAAAAGAAACAGATACTTAATATTCCTTCTCCGTCATCCCCTGTTGAGGAAGTTCGAAAGAAATTTGAACTTCATGCTTCAAATCCACGAAAAACAGATATAAAAACTCGATCTAATGTTAGAGATTTAGCTTCAAAACACCAGAAAGCTTTTGAAATGACTGAACCTGAGGAATGTGAAAAAAGAAAATCTGAAACTGTAAGGACAGTCAAATGTGATACTGTGTTAAATAAACGTCACTCAGAGCCACCTCCAAAAACTGTGGAGAGTAATTTATCAGATACTAATAAAAGAATGTCAAGTAAATTTGAAGAAACTTCAATTAAGGCACCTGTGAATGTTGAAAAACAAAGTAACAAGTCAAAAGTTTCACAGCCAAGCCTTTTTACGCAGCTAAAAATTCGAAAACTTCAGTCATTACAAGCAGAGGCAAATGTTCCTCCTCCTGCGCCTGTTGACCCATGGTCTGATCCTATATTAGATATGCAAGAAGAATATCATCCTATCATTTCATACTTACCAACATCTACCTTTAATTCTGAAATGAATGAATTGCAAGAAAATGAGCAAAGTAAGAGTGACTCTGATGAAGTTATTCAAGATCATGATGATTTTGAAATTGATAACAATATTATATCAGATGACACAGATAGAAATGATAGGTCTGAGCTATCAAAAGAAAAAGAAGGAGATATTAGTGTTGCTAAAACTGAGCAAGATACATCATCGTTTATACAAAGTGAATGTCTTGAAAGTGACATAAGTAATGAATTTGAAAACCAGCAGCTGTGTTGTAAATTAAATGAAGCTGGTGTTGAAAGTGAAGCTGTTAAGAGAGAAAGGATAAATCGTATTAAAGAAGAAAGAAGAGCCCAGCTTCGTGAAAAATTAAAACAAGAGAGTTTTCGCCTGGAAGCTGAAGAAAAGGAAAAGGTTCAAACTAAATTCCGTTTACGAAAAGACTGTCTGAGGTATAGTGCTTCAGTTGAAAATCAGGAAAAAACTCATAAAACTGTGAAAAAAAGTGATAAAGCTGTTGAAACTGATACTGCAGATATAACTGAGACAGGCACAAATTGTAATCTTAATACATCTGCTGATACTTCTAAAAATTCTGCATGTTTAGTTGATAGTAAAAATGAGCTAGATAAATCTACTGAAAGAAATAGTGAGTTAGATTCATCAGCATTGTCTGCCAGGCAACAAAAGACTTCACCTAAAAGAATTTCTTCAGATGATTACATATTATTGCATAATAAATCAAATGCAGAAAAAAAGTCTGGTCGTTCATATGAAGACACACGGAAGTGGCTGTCTATGCCACCAACGGACATAAGGGACAAGGTTGCAATGTTTGAGCGTTCCAAAGACACAAAGGAATTATGCAGGTTGGGACCAAATGGTAAATTTCCACAGAAACAAAGCACTTCAACATTAGCCTCATCATTTGTGAGATAAATTTTGGGCATAGTTTGATATTAATTCTTCAAAGCTAGTAGCTTGGTGATGATAGTGCTATATATGGTATACCATATACTTGATCTCAACAGTATTTGTGTGAAAGCATGCTACTGGCAATATATCTTTGTAAATATTGCTAATTGAAGTCAAAAAAAGAAGACCATTTTAACTTTATTTCTGTCTTTTTGTATTATGTATTATATTTTGGGATAATGTGGAGTACTATTGCCAGTAAACAGTCACAAGCTGCAATCTGCTTTTCAACTGAAAAGCTATTCATTTGCAAGAAAAGATAATAAGTTACTCTTAGTTCAGTTTGTGTTATGTATTTATACGAGTATAGAAGTAAAAAATATGCATATACGCAAACAGATGCATCCTTCTCCCCCCCCCTAAAAAAAACTAAAAATGTACAGATATATATCTGAAAAGAGTTACTGTTGATTCAATAAAAAAAGTACTTTCGTATTAAAATGTTAATTAATTGACAAAAATTTATAATAGTATTTATTATATTTTACTGTTGAGATTATGGTATATTGGAATGCTATTTATAGAATTATCTTTTTCTTGCTACCTCATCATTTTCATTGTATTCATCATTTTTATTTGTATATATACTTTTGATATGTTGAAAATATATTTTATTTAGAGATATTAAAAACCACTATCATGCTTGGCTTGAAAATAAGGTTTTTCTTCCAAATCATTCCGGTGTGATAAGTGGTTATGAATATCACTGTGATAACATCTAAAATGTTTATTAATGCCATGTACTGTAGTATACTTTCTGACCTTTTCTTCTCACCTTTGTGCCTATTTGTGAGCTATGCAAGTTTTTTAAAGTCATTTTTTATGAACAAACGTTATACATTTTATATGCTCGAAATAATGCAATAAAACATATTTGTTTGTATGAAAATCAGGGATATGTTTTTACATGTGTTTTAAATCAGTTTGCTAGTAAGTTTTCCAGTTCCCCTTCTTCCAAATGATTATTACTGTAATTTTCTTGAGAGAGAGATTTATACTTTTTTAGAATTTTTTTATTTGTCATTTTATATGCTATTGATCTAATGATTTTGTACATTTTTATAATTAAATTTTTTGATGATGTGTAATGTTCACTGTAAAGTAATTTTGTATCTGATAAGACCAAACGCTTTTACACCACAGATGGTATATAAATTTTTTCTGAAATTTGTTGTAGATGTTCTGAAATTCTTTTAAAGTTTTGAAAATAATCAGTTGTGCAGCTTATTATTTATAATATTCACACTTTAATTTTAAATGAGCTTTTTTGTTAATGCAGTTTTATCTTGTAAATGAATAAAATTTTCAGAATTGTTGTCCTTCTGAATTGTTTTGTAGCATGTGTATAACATCACTATTTTGTATTTTCAAAAATATTGCTGACAATATTTTTTTTTTTTCAAAAGTATTTTTGTTTTTATATGCAAAAAACAAAGCTAAATTTATTTATTAAGATTAAAACAGTTACTTGTAACAATTGCTTTAACAGGATTGTGTTTTGGCTGGTAGGATGGGAGAACTTTTTGGCTAAATTAAAATTTTAGGCATATTTGTTTATAGTTAAAAAAACAATTACAGTTTTGTAACATCATAATCATTAGCTACATAAGCTGTTTTTGTTGTACTGCTTCCAGGCCCATTTTGAAAAAACACTGAAGGGGGGTATTTATTTCATAATTTTATAGCTAGAGTCAACTTAGTGCATTCAACTGAAAGTTATATATATATATGAATTTATGACTGATTACATTATTGTTTCTAAAAGGTTTTTGTTGATTTCAGTTTTCTGAAATAATTTCCTAAACTTGTTATATTTTTTAAAATAAGAATATTGAATGGATTACAATTTTTTAATGTTTTAAACTGTATATAGTATCAGAAAATTTGGTATTTATTTTTTTCCCTTTCCTTTCTAATAAGCATATAACTCTTGTTAAATCACATTTGAACTTTGAAATGTTTGAAGTTTAATGCATGTGTTAAGCAAATACTGTTCAGTGCATTATTACTTTGCCTGACATTGCTTTTTAAATATTACTTAATAAACTTTATAAAAGTGCTCAAAAATTTATTATTGTGCCTTAATTTCTTTTCAAAAATCATTGGGGAAAACTGAAATTTTTGCTAAAATATTTAAAATTATTGAAATTTTTATGGCTGTTTGTTGTATGAATTGTATGTTATGAAGAGTATGGCATTTCAATGCACTTTGTTAGCAGTAGAAATCCAAATGTCTGTGTTCATCTTTTCACAGTGTGTGTTATCTTATGAAAGTGAATGATTGCTGTGTCTTGCTGTAATGATTTTATATTTTATATGTGTGTCTTGCTGTAAATTCTGACATTTTGCTAAGAGTTGAATGTTAAGTGAATTTATGAATACGGTTTAATTGATTAATGTATGATGCATCTGATATTTATGCAAATGCACAAAATGTACAGTTGTATGTTTTTATAGGTTGCTTAAATGAAAAATCATAAAATAAAAAATGTTTCTCTTAACCTCTGTCTTTTTTATGTCAGTTTTGTATATTAATAAAGTTTAATTATGGATCAAGATTTATATAAACCTAACTCAAAGGTTAAAGAACAAAGTTCGCACTCATTTGAAAATCGGAAAAAATGTAAAGGAAAAAGTGAACTTTCGAGAAGTTACAGAAGTATTAAAAAAATACATATGGATCTTGTCAATTAGGAAAAGTTCACAATTTGAATAATAACCAATAAAAATTGCCATCTTTAAAATGAGAGCAAATAAAGCTTTACCTTTTATTATTATGATGATTAGAATTTTTTTATAACCCAATCTGTATCTGGTAATGTTATACCAACATGCAACTGTCGTATTCCATTTGTTTGCTGTTGTTTACCCCTTTCTTTAGAGATGCTATTTTCTGCCTCATCTTTCCTTAGAAATTTGATTGTTCTTCAACTTGTTTAATAATAATTCAATAAGATAAAATTCCTTTTTGTAATAGTTTAATCATTTCATTGTATATTGTGATGAGTGCATGAAGTTATTTAGGTATTCTTGCTTAATTTGATAACTATCCCATTTTTGGTAAGGGAATTGTTCATTCAATCAAAAATTTAATTTCAACTTTAATTCTTGAAGAATGAATATTTCCTAATTTTATAAGTTTTTGAGTTATATCACAATAAATTTAGTTAACTTGTAGTCTCGATTGTAAAACATAATTTTCATGATGCTTCTGTTGCAAGTCATGCTAAGCCAAAATAAAATTTATTAAGTCAATCAAATAAAAAAACACATAAGGCCATCAAATTATAAAAACTTACCAGAATTAAATCTTGTCTCTATTAGCTTAAAAGAATCCCCTCTGTTTTTTATTTATTAGTTTCAGCATATGTATTTACACTGGAATGCTTTTTGGAAGCGTTTTATTGGAGAATGTCCCACATCATCTGTGTTGCATGCTGGAATTTTTTTTTTTTTTTTTTTTTTTTTTTGAAAATCAAATGACAGACATTTAATATGGACTTAAATTTAGAAGTGTATTAAAAAAACATAATATCAAATCTGACGAGTAAAGGAAAGGAAGATTAAGGTGGTTTATGTTTAGTAGTGTGTTGCACCCACCTCTTTTGTATGGTGGTTAGGGAAAGTGGCTGCCATTACGTAATGGCAAATTTCATATCCTAGAGAAAGCGAAATTGTTTCTAATTGTATGTAAGTTTTGCACCTTGGGAGACATCTAAAAATCTGCAAAGTGTTTTCTCTATCATAATCGAAATAAAGCTGAGCAAGGTCGCATTGTTCATCTCTAAGGTGGCAACCATTGACAAGGGCTTTTTTTCACTTGATCGTGATGAATGAATTAATGGAGCTAATCTAGACTATTTTCAGATTAAGAAGATAATTAACAGCAGATAAAAATTATAAAAAATAATATGATTAAAATTAATTTTGCTGACTCTTTTCTCATAATCACCATTACCATCATTCCTGTAAACGTTTTTCCCAACACGTCTCCAGGTGAGCAACTTTACAGTCATAGCTTAATTTAAGCGCGTGAGCAATTTTACTTGTGTTTTATATATCTTTGGGATTTGATTGCAATTGAATTAATAATATTTAATTGTTTTTTGGTACTTTTATTTAGAACAATAGATTTTGAGTTTTTGCATTGTCTGCCTGTGTTTTGTGCTTAAGCTCTCTGGCAAGTGTATCAAGCATTCTTATTTTGTTCTTTAACATAATGATTTTTTCTACACTTTAACATTCTCCCCCTCTCACTCCCATCATGAATATGCATCCAGATACAGTAACATGTCTGGTAAGTTCAGTTAGCTCAGTGCATACTAACCGAAGCTCGCCCTCTGTAGAAAGGAATTCATCTATCTTTACTTCGTCTTTCAGATTAGAAGCTATAAACCATATCTGTAGTATCGCAAACTGTTTGTTATACAATCTATAGAAACTAAGAAATTAAACAGGTCAGAAAGAAAGCAGTTTTCTTCCTTCGTCAATACAATTCTAAACGCTATGGCCGATGAAAAGCTATTTTTTATGTCCAGCTGCAGGGTCAAATTCTTGCACTACAGCAGTACTGCGAAAATTTGTACAAATCTGCACCAGCATCATTTATTTCGTCTGTTAAAGTACTATCACATTCAGGAACTGAAACTGACTCAACATTTACAGAAATAGTAGTAAAAAACGCATTCCCAAGATCCATAAGGTTAGGTTTATTTAATTAAGACAAAGCACATAAAGGCTATCTGCTTAGGGGTAGGGATGTCTTCCAGAACATTTCATAAGGACACTGACTCGTATACACATTACACTGGTAGAATATGACACGAAGACAGCGGATTCGAACACCGGACCAAACTACCGGTATTCATCGACTTTACAGCTTGGCTGCTGGTGGGCTTCGCAAGAGCTCTTAAGAAGCACCAGTTCTATAAAGTATTACTCATAAAAGCACATGATGTAGACCATTTTCCTGAGCAGGTTAAACCTAAATTTATTGGAATTACTGTAGAGGAAGTTCTATCCACCGTGACCAAGGAACTGTTGGTGTGGTGTACCAATGAAGAGCACATAGACATGCTTAAAAAATCGATGGAGGAGAAGCCCATTCGCTCATCATCAGTCTCAGTGGGAGTTTTGTGGTGTCAGAAAAAAGTCTGTGATTGTTTTTGGTGTGCCAGCTCTTGCCACAGCAGACGACATTGAGAATCTAGCCCCATCAGTAAATCATAGCTGTATTTATCTAACAACACCTGCCCACACATCATTAGATGTTGATAACTAGATTTTTGAAATTCTGTTTTGAAAGATTGCAGTCGAGTTTGGATTTAATTCCTGTGCATTCAAGTAATGTATTAGAGTATATAGGTGCTTTAATTGGGAATAATTAAGTTTGCATTAGCCATAATTGCAACTGCTAGCGTGCAGTGCTTGTGGGAAAAAAAAAAAAAAAAAAAAAAAAAAAAAAAAAACCTGCTGATACATGCATGGCAATTGCTTCAAAAACGCAAGAATTTTATCTGGAAACTAGGCATCATCTTCGAAGTACCCTACTGTGCAAGCACTGCAGTATGCTTAGCATACAAGGCAGAGCTCAATCACCTGAGAATAGCTGTTCAACACTGAGCATGGAGCAGGGATATAATCAAACGAATAATGCTATCGGTGCTTCTCAGTATTACAGGTAAGTATGCGAAGGTGCCAGGCTGCAACTGATTCCGCAGAATAGATTATCTTGAAAAATAAGTATGAGATCTCTAAAAGTTTTTTAGTCTACTAGTAACCTTGGGGCAGTGGTTTGCCATGGCCCACTTAGGCTTGTGGTTTACATAAGGGTGATTTATGCAACATACATAAGGTGAACCATGCAACTTGAGGTTCCTAATGGAAGAATCGTTGTTACTTGTGTATCCATCCTTCATATTACATGACCGCAGTACTTTCTGAAACAGAGCACATTTATCATTCTCTGTAGACAATTAAATTGTGGTGGGGGACTTCTACCCTGCAAGCCCTCTTTAGCGCATACCGGAAAAAAAAAAGAGCGGCTGCGACATCATGAACAGTCTACTAACTTTCTCGATGGCACGGGCAAAAGGCTGAACAGATATAACTATACAAACAGATAAACTGTACAAACAAAAACTTTTAAGTAAAACCTTAAATTAAGTTAAAGGTGTAATTATTTTGCTTATCCGAACGTAAGTTATTTTCTTTTATTAAGGATTAATCGGAGATCGGCATGCGTAAGTAGAGTCTACGACTTGTTTTGAAGCTTTTCCTCCCGTAAATCTCGTAACTCCTAAAGCTGCTATCGCACATCCGTTTGTTTCGGAAGAACGACTATTTGGAACAATTTTTCTACTTCGTCATAAGAGGCAATCACCATAGATCACTTTGGGTTTAACACAGGTTTTAGATCGGGTGCATTTATTTTTTTTTGGGGGGGGTAAAAGAAAACCTTTTTTCCATCATCTTTCCTTCCTTCACGAGCGAGCCCAAACCCATTACAAAAGTAGTGAGAGCAGCCCTGCGCTTTACCACTTGGCTGTGCTTAAAGTAGAGATCGGAGATTCATCTTCTAGTGAGTATTAAATGGATGGGATGGGATGGAATATTATTTAATTCTGAAATGGATATATTTGGATGGCTTGGAAACCTATGATTAATTTTTATGTAGAAATTATAGCATTCTTGAGTTGGAAGATGATAAGCATAATGAATTTTTTTTTTTTTTTTTAATTTGAAGGAATTTCATAATAGCTTTGTCTAGAAAATATCGTGGGAGAAAACATCGCAGTGCAGTGAGAAAACATCGTAGCTCAAAATATCGTCATCGAAAATAAAGCTATTCAAAAACTCCTCACTTTAAAAATATTGTTGAAAATATCGTGGTGAAGAATAAAGCATCTGTAAATCATCGCATGACGATTACATTGCAGAAATGCGTTTTACGGGCTTTAAAAAATGTAAATGCATATTTACATAATGATTTGTGAGTGTAAGAAGGAATGAGGATTATTTGCTTCTATATTTTTGAACTAAATAATAAATAATTTTTTTCTGAAAAATTAATTAAGTAAACTGAAGCATTAAGATACTGAAAATGAGTAGAAAACTAGTGCAACTGGTAATAGTTGATAGAATTTTATAATTTGATAATTGCAGTTATTCATTTTACTTTGAAAAATAAAAAATTACCAATAAAACTTAATAAAAGAGATTAACTAATTAATACCTTTATTTGTTAACTAAACTAGCTTAAAATACTATTACGTGATATACCTAACGTTATTTTTCTATTCATTTTTTTATTTTTGAATATCCTTCTTACTTCTTCAGCAAAAATTTATTAGTTAATTTAAAAATAGGAAATATAAAAGGCCATATTCTTTATTCCTTCTTCAGCTCCCAAATCATTATGCGAATATGCATTTACAAATTTTAAATCCTGAAAAACGCATATCCTTGATGTTATCATCATAAGATGATTTTGTAGGTGCTC